GTATTTTTTTGACGTCAACTCGGATGTGTCAGGCTGGCAACACACTGTGTCAGGTTGCCAGCCAGGGAATAGGGTAGACGACTAATTTTTATTTTAATGTCCGTCTTGTAGATTATTTAAAACATTAAACACGTTTTTTTTATTTTCTTACGGAAACGAATAGTTTCGAAGATATGTTGATTTGAAATGTCGCGTGACGTCACTTCTCAGTACATTTTATACTAAGAAATGACGTTTTAGCCCCCACTCCTAAACTTTGATTCGTTTTATCCAAGTATTGTTTTATTATACGACAAAATAAAAAAATACGTGTCTAATAGTTTTTCATAACCTAACTGACGGAGTAATTAGATTTTTAATTTTCATACCCTGTCGTCATCCCCATTAGGAATTTGAGGATTGTGGGGGATTCAGGGATTGGAAAGACTGTGGAGGGGATGAGGGGGGTAATTAAGTCTCTGGTAGCCTCACTCACATGATAAAATAAAACACAAGCGTTGTTTCCCGTCGGTGTCCTGTGGGTTACATCCTATATTCCTATTCCTCCGTTACGACGACCCCTTATGAGTGTCTTCTCTTATAGACTCTTATTATATTCTTCTTCATATCTTCTCCAATAAACTTTCAGCCTTATCCCAAACTATTAAAACAGAAAATGTTTTAAAGGTCAACACTACCTACTAGCTGATACCTTCGGCAATCTCCGGCAGTAGTTCGGGTGTGTCCGGTCACGATCTGTGCTCCCTTGAGCATGGGCAGGCAACCCGCCCACATTGTCCACTAGTCACTATAGTGAAAGGATACAAAACAATCTGATAAACGTAATTTGATATTATTCCACGTCATTTAGGAGAATAATAAATAGCTATTGTTTATAATACATTCTTGTTGTCCCATAAATGGGGTAAGCAGAGACGTTACACGATAAACCTTTTTCAAGTCAACTATTTTTATCTTATGTCGTAATAATGGAGGTGAAGATCAATTCCAAGCTCATTACTAGTATTGCTTATTTTGAAATCTAGAACTATAAATGGACCCTTATCCCCAAATCTTAGAAGTCATGCTTGGTAACCATAAAAGAAATCTGTCGAACTGTGCAAAACTGAACTAAAAATTACGACTTACTTAAATAAAATATACTGAGAAAAGCTCTATTAGTTTCGAGTCATGTATCCTGCGCGACATCGCCGCGACCGTGCATGCTGCTCATGAGGAAGAGTCTCTCTGTGACTTAAACCAGTGAAGCTTTTTTTAGTATATTTACGTGAGTAATTTTAGTGAATTTTTAGTTAATTCAGTACGTCTCACAATAGTTATTATAAAAACATGTGCAAAAGTTATAAATTATTTTCCTTAAGAAGCATTGTACCAAATTAGCTTAAAGGGATATTCTTGTAAACTTAAGTCAGTCCCTATTAGTATCTAAAGTCGTAATATCACAAAAGAAAGTTACCATTTAAGTGAAACACTGTTAAGGTGTGTCACCCACGGGTGCATGCGAAAACACTTAGTCTAACTACCCATAAATATAAAGACTACCGTTATTTCTATTCTCTATATAAATAAGTATTATTTTTTCTGCTCCTTTCTGCCTCTAGTTCTCAAGTATTCACGTTTTATTAAAACTTCTTTAAACTGTCAAACACCAAGCGGTCACCGGTGACCGCAACCTATTGTTCTATAATTGTGTCTACAAAACCGATACTCGACGAGTTAAGAATCTGTCTATCGACTGATGGAAACCGTACAAAAATCTATTCAGTAGTTTTCGATTTTGCAAACAGACAAGTTGGCTACTGTTTTATTTTATAACTTGAGAATGACCCTAATAGATTGAACAAGCCTTTCTTTTTATAAGCGTTATTTTCAAGACAATGTTTCATTCTGTTTCTTCCTTATGAAAGGTGCTAAAACAGATAAGTCGCAGTTCTAAAACGCAACTATAAAGACACAGTATCAGATTTAAGAATGTATGATATATTATTTAAACAATATAAATTCGATAATTTTGAATCTGACTGTTTCTGATATGACGACACATCAACAGTCGGTATTCCAAACAATCTCGTTTAAAAATTTCAAATTCGATAACTTGTTCTAGACATTTTTTTTATTTTTCCACAATCCGATTTGAAATGACGATGCATATTATAAGTCTTACATAATTATTATGATTCTTTATATAACAATGTTTAGCTTTTGTTGTTATTACTAAAAAAAATATTGGTTTATTAATAGGAAAAATTGGGAGATCGTACCCGAAGCCTGGAAGAAACGCTAGTTTATAAATAAAGACAAGTCTGAAGTAAACTGGTATGTATGTGGCAAGAACTAAGATCAGTTCGGGTCAAACTATAAAGTAGAATTTACTGTCGTTTTGTTTACTAACGATTTCAATAGAATATGTATGTAGTTACAATAGGGTAGATGGCTAATTTTTATTTTAATGTCCGTCTGGTAGATTATTTTAAGACATTAGACACGTATTTTTTATTTTCTTACGGAAACGAATAGTGTCGAAAATATATTATTTTGAATTATCGCATGACGTCACTTTTGAGTACGATTTATACTCTAAAATGACGTAGCTACGTCAAAGTTTTATCTAAGTATCGATTCGTCTCTCGAAATATCGAAGATTCGTTTTATCTAAGTATCGATTTCTCATAGGACAAAATAAAAAAAATACGTATCTAATTTTCATACCCTGTCATCATCCCTATTGTACATTATATTGTAATAAATGCTTTGACTTTGATCAGCAGTTTTGGCAAAAATGAGTAACAAATAAACACACACACTCACTCACATACATCCTCACAAACTTTCGCATCTTTTAGTAGGATTATCCCAACATCAACAGCCTGCGTCAGGCTTCAGCAGTCAGGACTATAACCCCCGTCTACTTATGAGAGGTTTGCCATAATCTATACTCTTCATAGCGCTTTGAAGATCGTTATTTAAAATGTTTATATTTTCCATAGAAGTCTATTGCTATTGTAAGGTCCCTTCATCATCATCATATCATCAAAAGCCGGAAGACGTTTACTGCTGGCCAGAAGCTGCCCTCTGAGTCCTTCACGCAGAACGACAACTCGCCACCTGCATCCACAGTAGTCCCTTCATAACCGGCTACTATCTTGCTTGCCCCCAGTATAATCTCCAATGTCGTAAAATTAAAACATGTTCTTTTTCTTGCCAAAAGCATGCATATTGTGTATCGAAGTCGCGGAGAACCTAACGGGTAACCGGGGCTCCGGCTCGATGTGCAGGAAAAAGAACGGGGTGGTTTTTAGTCAATAAGAGTCTGACACTCCCTCCAGCCTCCCCCAGGTGGGAGCAGCCATTCGATGATATTACCCTATTAAAAAAAAATTGTGTATCGAAGCAGTGAAAAGTTACGCAGATCTTGGGCCAGCTGTCAGCATAACAATTATCTATATTTTGTTCATGTTGTAAGTCTTTGTCAAATCTTATTGTGCAGTGCCCCACCTCGGGCGCTGCATACTAACGACCCGTGAAATGTGCACATGACATGGACTCCGCTGGACTTCGGATGCTATTACGTGTGACACGTAATTGATACTCTTTTGTATTGATGCCAGTTTAACACGCACACCACAGCAGCACAATGTTTTAAAATTACATTCGAAATAAGTAAACAGTTTAATGTAAAACTTAACTAAGTCATGTAACGAAAGTTTAACTAATTAACAATTTTTGCTAAGAAAACTCATGATTGGCGTTTTAATAAAATAAAATTCTTATTTATTATTTGATGCTTTTTTTTTTCTTCTTTGGCAACCGAGTCTCTAAAACGGTGTTGTCGACTATACTGCCAGTGTTGAGTGGTGACGGCAAAATTAATATTTAATACTTTAAGCATTGTCTAACAGTCCTCGTCAACGTGGCATTGACATTCATTTGTCAAAAATGAAAGTTGTAATTTCCATCACATCTCGACAATGACACAAACTATTTCTATGCTATTGCTATATCTAATTCTAATACGTAATGTTGGACGGAGTGGACGGCAATTCACTGTATTCTGGTCACGACGCGATCTAAACAGGTAAAACGATAATTTACCATTGCGATAGTGGGCAGGTGCTGTGAAAATATAGGCCGTACACACGAAGTAAGATTTACTCACACACTATTTGTTTAGTCACGATTTTGATCCTAGTTAGTAGTTAATAAATAAATGTCAATGCTTTTGCATGAATACCAAGATGAAAATTAAAGTGCGATCTGAACGTTAGCTATCTATGGCTACATACAACAGTACCTGGTGATAAAAATAGCACATATTACAAAAAAATTGAATGTAAAACGACTTTTCCATTTCATTTTTTTTTTCATTTATTCAAGTCGTCATTTTCTGTTATTTGAATGTGCCGCCTTTCCGACAGAGTTGTACACTCAACTTATCGATTATCGTCAACCATTGTAAAATAGAATAATACTCTATGGTAATTTGGTCTGTGGTCTGAACATTCTAACCTAAAAATATTTATCATTACATAATAGTGCTAAAATATTATATTAAAGTAACGAAAAATAAATTGTGATACATATTTTAATGTTATTTTCTGTTTTTATCGCGGGTAAGGCTAATTCTAACTGAGTTATATGCCCTTATCTTGATGTTATCTTGTAAATAGAAAATAAATAGGTGAAACTTATTTTTATTGCAGAAATTCAACTGCGTTTTTAAAACAATAAAGGTTATTTATTTTTACTTACGCTGTATCACAAAAAATAATTTATTTGAGTTCCAAATTGAAGAAATCTTACGAATTTATTGGTTGCAATTGTTTATAATTTTATGGAATTTGCTAGCACTTTATCATGACATTATGTTTTGCAATAAATGCGTCAAAATTAATTAAAAAAATAAAATCTGTAGAAAATTACAATACATGGCAATTTTAAAATTGGAATTAATTGAAACATTAATGAACGAGATTAGCTTTTAATAAATACATCAACAATCTCAATCATTTTAATTAATCTATTGGAATTCATTTCGACGTTTTCATTTGGAGAATAATTAAATTTTATTATGATTTTTTCACGGTGTAAGTAAATATTTTATTATAACCTTTAATATAATATAGCTTAGATTAGATCTTCTATAACCACCAGAGTAAACTAATTAGTATTACCTAGTACAGATTTAGTCAAATATAATTTAAGTGCACTTGGGAGCAAAGAAAGAAAGAAAGAAAAACTTTATTTCACACGCTAAAACAGGTGACACGTACAGATTTTACACATAGTTTATATATATCTACTAATGTCCCAAGTCTGCGGTGAAACGGGACCAGTTCAGCATGTGCAAGACAGGGCCTCGCGCTGGTATTCTACTGGCCCCTTAAGTGACTCGCGGACGAACAAGTCACCAATCAGACAACGATAAACATAAAGCTCCCAATTGTAAATTACGATACTTTCTTTGTTTGTTTGTTTACTATTATTTTCAGTAAATAAAAACAGCCAATGATTGGACATTTTAAACTCCACCATAAGCAATTGTTACCACAATGTACCTACGTAGATTTCCATGCCAATCCTATCCTGTCGCGGGGAACCTAACGGGTTACCAGGGCTCTGGCTCGACGTGCAGGAAAAGTAACGGGGTGGTTTTTAGTCAGTAAGAGTCTGACACTCCCTCCCGCCTCACCCAGGCGAGAGAAGTCATTCGATGATTTCTCCCCCTTAAAAAAATCTTATTTTATCCGACTGTAGGAATGGTACTAGATTTTTTTACCAGGTCTATGTTAGATCAACATATATTTCATGTAGGTAAATCCGCTCGCAGGACCTTTAAACACTACCTAAATGTTTTACGACCAACAGATAACGAAATGACAAATAATGAAATTGCATTTTTTTTCAGTATTTTGCTGGCTAACACTGCTGGAAATTGCATGCATTTTAACCCCGCAGCTTGTTTCTTCAAATTTTATTGAGGATTTCATAGAGGATATGAAAACTTATCGTCCTTATACAAGGAGACCAAGGCCAAAAAATAAACCAGTCGGTAAACGTACAGGATATGTAGAATTAAATTCAAAATACAGAAAACCAAAAAAAAGATATGGTAACAGAGTATCATACGTAACAAGTACATATTTACCGCCCACTGTCAAAGTTACTGTACCCCAAGTAATAAAATCGGAAACACCGCTGACTGTTAATACTGTACCTCAAGAAACAAAAACGGAAAAACCGCTGACCGTCAATACTGAACCTGAAGTAACAAAAACGGAAAAACCGCCGACTGAATATCCAGCAAAAGTAAAGTTTAATTTCGACTTTTCAATAAAAGGTATGAAAAAACTATCATTTACTTACGAAGAACCACAAATACCAATTTTGGAAAAACCACCGGCTGCCGACTCGAAGTCTGAATAAAAGAAAAACTAATAAAACCCCAAACAAATGTAAAACAAGTTCAACCATCCAGATAACTTCTATCTATCTTCTTATCTACTACCTATTCAAAATAAAAAATATTTTTTTGAACTATAGTAACACATTTGTTTTAGTAACCTAGATACCTAATTTATCGATTTAAGTTTTGCAGTATTAGCGAATTTTCATGTTTGTGTTAATAACCTAAGTGATTCAATTCTACTCTTTAAAAACTTACTTGTGATCTATGTAGTTTTATAATAGAAAGAGTGTAGAAAGCAATGAGTTTAACATAATATTATTTTCTGAAAAGTAAGTAATTAAAGACGAATATTATTAAACATTTTTATTTATTTTTTTGTACAAATCTGTACCTACCTCAAATTAGGAAAAGCGGTATATGAGTTGGACTACCTTATCACAGTCTAGTTTAGAATTCAGACGCATGTACTGGAATATAAATTCCAAAATACTACACAAGTCCAAAACCATAGTTTTCAACAATCCCTAAGGCTTTTCTATAAGTTAACTCGTCGAGTACCGTCATTATAGACACGATTATAGAACAATAGGTTGCGGTCACCGGTGACCGCTTGGTATTTGACAGTTTAATAGATGACAATTTCTAACTTTCAACAAACTACCAAATTACACTACGTATAATATATCAAAAAACAACTAATTCCATTCCATAAATTAACAATCAAATCAATAAATAAATACTAATTCAATTCTTAACTGAATTAACGATATCCATCCTTCTTACTTAAAGTACCTTATTCTTTTATTAGGGATTTAATAAATTAATACAAGTAAAATGAACCATATATCAACTAGAACCATACTGTGAAGTATAATGATAACGAATGATCACACTGTTTCGTTATTACCGGCTATCGTTAAGATCGTTAAACTGTAAGGCGAATCGTTATATTTGACAAATGACGTTCGATATCGAACATACAAATTAATGTTGAATGCAGTGTCGACAAGATTTTATTTTTAAGAAATTTATTACTGCCTCGTTGGCCGAGTGGTCGTGACTACGAAGTTGCGACTGCCGGGCAAGGGGGTTCGAAGCCCGGGTCAGTAATAGTATAACTGTTTTTTTTTTTATCTCAGCAGTAGCACGGAGTCAAATTCAATACTTTTATTGAAATGTCAAAAACGATACTTTTCTATGAATTGTGTATTGGATCCCAACATATGACGTCATCATATTTCTGCCTCAAATAGCTAAGCTAGCTAAAATCTAATTTCTTTAAAATTAGCGAGATAAAATCTAAAAGTAGGTAAATTGTGAAATCAATGGATGAGAGTATGATTATTTTGTAATTATTTATTGCATTAAAAAGTTGAAACAATTTATTTTGAACCTAGGACACTAGCCAATTGTGCCCGGTAAATGGCAATAGGTTCACTCCCTATTACGTAGAACTTGGGGACAAAAAGGCGTGATGTTATGTTAAGTTTATTACTGCTTTTGCTTTTTTGTAAGTAGTTTTCTAGAAAGAAGATTTTTAACAAAGATACAATGCTTTGTTATGTAATTAATGAGGCTATGGGCCTCCACTACATAGAAGAATTGGTCATAATCTACATACGTAGCAGGCCAGTTTAATATCACATTTTAAAAGGTAGGTATATCAGAGAGCTTTACTGTTAACTGGCCTTTTTTATGGGATAAGCCGGTAAACGACTAAACGGATCACCTGATGATAAGTAATCGGCGTCGCCCATGAACACCTGGAATACAAGTGTGTTACCGGCCTTTTGAGGATTACAATTCTTTTAGGATTCTTAGGATTCAGGGATTGAGGAGGAGGGAGGGCTAATTGGACCATACATACATACATACATAACTTCATGCCTGTCTCGCACGGCAGTAGGCAGAGTCTAGGGAACGCCAATTACTACGATTCTTACATACCTATTTCGCTTCATCAATCTTTTGGACCAAGTGGCCTTTATCTAATGTATAGTCCTTTAGTCGACAACTCGTACAACATCTGCAGGTAGAGTAAATGTAGTAAGTTGATAATAAAACTGTTCTACTTTGTTATCACCACAGGGCTTATTTAATTTCTGAGCTGTGGACGACTTAGTCGGCTACCGGGGCTCGGGCTAGAATGGGAGTTAGTCCGGGGTGGTTTTTAGTCAGTAAGAGTCTAAAACTCGCATCTCGCCACACCAAAGGCGGGTGAAGTCATTAGATGATTTCCCCTCCTGTAATAAAGTTTATGATCGAACCACAACTCAACTATTTTTTTTAAGAAATAATAGGCACACGAGCAAACGGATCACCTGATGGTACGCGATCAGCGCCGCCCATGGACACCCGCAACACGTTACAAGTGCGTTGCCGGCCTATTAAAAAGGAATACGCTCTTATCTTGAAGGTTTGAAGGTCGTATCGGTTCGGAAATACCGCCGACGACAGATCATTCCACAGTTTTGCTGTAAATCATTTAAACTATTGCATCAGGGGCTATTAAATCGTAATATAAAAGACCGTAATTCTAATCGCTGTCGACATTTAAAACAAAAGAATATAAACTATACCGTCTCCCATAGTTTTAACCTCCATAAAAACTAAACGTGGTATTAGGTACCCCGGTCTTTTAAAATTCTTTAATTAATTCTCAACTTTGTCTCTATAGTATTAAGTTCAAAATCTAATGGGGAAATTTTAAAATATTGGACAGCTTGATGTGCTAAGAGATGATAATAGTGATGGGACAACCATAATTTTATATCTTGTTACAAATTTATATTTAATTACTTTACCGTGTAACTCTTTAACTTATTGAAAACATTATGAGAATGGAAAGTTTATTTTTTATGTAGTTTAGTTTATTTAATATTAATATAGACAAATTTTAATATTTTAGACTCGTCTTGGTATTGAATTTCGTGTAAGAAATTTTTTCTTGTAATTGGGTATTGTGTTGGAATCGATAAGACTTGGAAAAGTAACAAAAAAAGGTTAAAATTTTTAAAGATCTAATAGATTTTCTTATATCACAGCCTTTGAAGGTGCAATGCAAAATTGAAATATTGCTAAGATCCATCTTGAAAATAATACCCACCTATATTGATTCATCTATTTAAAAGCTACACTGCCAGATGAATGAAGCGGATGGCTAAAAATGGTTAAGAAACACAAACAAGGAAAACTTCAAACAATTTTTTGGACACCAGGATTGAAAAAGCACATTATACAAAAAATCTAATAACTGCAATCAGATAAACAATTCATATAGGTAAGAACATTTAATATTACTTACCATTCAACCCTTTAATTTAAAGTACTGGTCCACTGGACCCCAGCAAGCAATTACATGTTAAAATGAAGGCGAATATTACAGTGTGCACTCGTTCGCGTAATGTGGCCTTAACAGCACAACCATGTGTCGTTAAATGAAAAACCAATTAAAAAAAATTGGTTCTACATATGTATTTATGAATTGAGTGTCTCGAGTGATCACAAATGTTCTAAGATGAGAAGCTTATTGGATAAGTTTTCCAATTTTAAATTGTGGTCTACACAGATATAATAAAGAAGGTATTTCTGTGGTGGTCTATGACGATAAGCATGTCCGTTCTAAGAAAGTCGTAATAGTTAGGCAAAAAGCAATGTTGTGCAAATGCATTTATATTCTATGACAATTGGGGTACGAAAATTAAAAATCTATTTAGTCCGTAATTTAAGTAACGAAAAAATATTAGACACGTATTTTTAATTTTGTTGTATACTAAAATAATAACTAGATAAAACGAATCAAATTTTAGGAGTGGGGGCTAAAACGTCATTTCTACGTATAAAATATACCTACATAGAAGTGACGTCACGTGACATTTCAAATAAATATATCGTCGAAACTATTTGTTTCTGTAAGAAAATAAATAATATGTGTCTAGTGTTTTCAAGCAATCTACCAGACGGGCATTAAAATCAGTCAAAAAAATCTCTAAATCCTTTATAATTCAAACTGCTGTAAATTGATAGACAAAATTGACACCAAGCATCAGAATCTTTAGGTACAATTTTGCAAATCATGGTGCATATTGAAATAGATTGACGAGATAATGATTGCATACACTGATAGGTACTATTGTGAGCAATTGCCGTCTTTTGTTTCAACAGACAATGTGGATCGACCATAAGGAAAGTGGTTATAATAGCCTTTGTAACAGACCATACTAAAGTCCATAGACAATGGAAATTAAAGTATAGACAAAAGCACCTTCTCATAGAATTACCAGCGTGAATTTGTGACGTAATGTTACTGCGTTTCGTTTGGTGAATGATAGGTCCAAATGCCCAAAGTAATGTTTGAGTGTCATAATTTTTTGCGGAGTAATGAACTTTACATATACAAGTTACTGTGAGATAATGAAAACTTCGAAATTAAATCCTATAAACGGTTGAATCAAACTTTCTCTTTAATATTACATAGGACATTAAACTTGTCTATATTTATCGAGCAACATCTCCGCAATAGGCTCACCTCCTATTACATGGGACATCATGGGATGAGGTTACCGGAGGCCCAATTACCCCCCTGCCTTCCCCAATCTCTCCTATCCATGAACCCTCAAACTCCTAATCCCCAAAAGGCCGGTAACGCACTTTTTACGCCTCTGGCGTTCTAGGTGTCCATGTGCGACGCCAGTTGCTTTCCATTAGGTCATCTGTCTGCTCGTTTACCGGCTTTTACCAAAAAAAACATAAATAGTGAAAAGTAGGTGTTGTACAGTGGCATTAAGTGCTGTACCTAATGTGCACCTGTGCATGTCCCTTCGGGGATAAAAGACGTGATGTTATGTTATATAATTATGTATTCATGCGCTCCGTTTGTATAATCTTCTACAGACATGTCCTGTTATTGATAGAACACTAGCATAAATTAAAATATTTCGTACCTAATAATTGGTTGGTGTGCTTCCAACGGGGTCAACCAGATTACTCATTCTAAGAATAATATATCAAGTAGAAATAGTTTTTAAATCCAGTACTCGCTAAATAGCCAAGTGACCGTGAACGTGGAACCATGTATGAGTTCCGCCAACAAC